GGCGCGGCGCGGTGACGCGCAAGGCCGGTGCAAGGCGCATGCGAATGCAGGGGTGGGTGCGGGTGCGAGCGCGTGCAGACACCTGCATGCCGGTCGCCCTGCATTTCTGCAGGGGGGGCAGGCGGCTGCCTTGTTTGAAGGCCGCGCGTAGCCAGCATGCCGCTGAAGGTCACCCGGGGTTTGGTTCAGCACGCAATTCAGCAGGCAGCCTTGCCTGCCGGCATGCGCGCCGCGGAACAGCCACGCCCCGCGCTCGTCGAAAGACGAAACTCAGCCAAGAGCGGCGCTGAGCGGCTGACCGGCGGCGCAAGTGTACACGATCGAGTCGCCTCTTTGGTGCTGGTAGATCGTAAAGATTGTGGGTCCGCTGCGTCACTGCACGAGGGCCTCTCGTGCAGTGTGTCAAAAGTACAAGTCGAGGCCCCCTGCGGCTGCTGGGCCGTTGCAGAGGCGAAAAGGGGAGAGTACAGCTGCCCGCGGCGCCGCAGCGGGACGGCAGGACGGCGCCGAGGAGGGCGGGAAAGGCGCGCCGCTGATTGGCGCACGGATACAAGGGGCTTCGTGCTCAGTGTCTAATGCAGGCTGGGCACATGCCCTGGCTACATGGGTGCTGCGCAAGAGGCCGCACTCAAAACAGTGTAGTACACTCTCAAACGGCCCTCCAGGGGTCCCAACGTGAGTCTGCAAGACGCACTGTGGCGGCCGCTCTCTGCAGACTAATGCTGGGAGCTGCAAGTGCGTGCTCCCAGGGCTGGCGCTCTTCTGACACTCCTCCATGCGCACACACGCACGTGCAAGCAGGCCTGTGCGTATGCACACCACACAGCACACCACGCGTGCATGGCACACCCTCCAGCTGCCGCGGTCAACATTTGACCCCGGATGAGTTTGGGGTGCCAATACGCTGCCCGTGTACTCGCTGCCGCGACTGAGCGCCCGCGCCTGCGGCCGCGGCAGCTGCGCCGGCGGCGCTGCGGCGCGACGCGCATGCAGCGGCCATCCTCTAGGCAGGCCCAGCAGCGGCGCCCGCAGGGGCGCCTGTCGACTATGGGGCGCGCACGGAGCCGCCGCGTGCGCCACTCATTCAGGCCCACCGGCGTTCAATGCAGCGTAGCCAAGAAGGGCGGTCCACGTGAACAGGACAATCCAAACCTAGATCACCCCTCTCGCGGCGGAACACTGTCACTGCTCCGTGCCTCGCTGCTCTCGGCAGCGTCTGACAGAAGACCAGCTGCCGCTGCTGAGAAGATCGCGCCGCGCCGCCGCGCTGCACGAGCCTGGGGCCAGACTTGCATGCGCACGCCAGTCTTGTGTGTGGCCCAAATCACCTGGCCGCTGCAGGGCCTGTGATCATGCTCTTAACGACCCTCAGCATGCGGATGTCGGCCAGCAGTTCGAAATCCAGCCGCGACAGCTGCTTCTGCGGCCGCCGCAGCGCCGCGCTGAGCCGCAGCTCCTGCGGCGGCCGCCGCGTCAGCTGGCTCAGCGCCCACAGCGACGTCGCCGCCTCTGCTGCGCCCAGCTGCCGCGCGGCCTGCTCCGCCTGCCCCTCGAACGCGCGCAGCCACGCGGCCGGGGGCCGCGCGCCGAGCGTCGCCAGCGCCCAGAGCGTCAATGATGTGGCCTTCACGTCAAAGCCCCGGAGCCCCGCGAGCGAAGCTGCCAGGAAGGCGTCAAGCCAGTCGGCCGGCGGCGGCGCGCCGAGGCGCGCGAGCGCCCAGAGGGTGCGCGCCATCTGCTGGGGGTCGAACTCGCGCAGGCGGGGCTGGCTGGCGGCGTGGAAGGCGGAGAGCCACTGGGGGTCCAGGGGCTGGTGCTGACGGGGGATGGGCGGAGCGGCGTGAACGCAGCGGCGCCATGAGGGGTGTGAAACAGCGGCTGCTGAAATCAGGGGCGAGGAGAGGCATGTGAAGGACGCCGACCCGTATGCAGGCACGGAGCAGGCGCGTCGCTGCACCCCTGCAGGTTGAGTGCTGCCGCCGCCCGTCCCAGCCGGCTGCAAACCGCCGCGCCCGCCGGGCGCGCGCCCGCGCGCGTGCACGCACACACGCACACACGCACGCACGCACGCACAAACAAACACACACACACACATACACACTCCGCTCGCGCGCCGACCTGCAGCCGCGCCACCGCCCAGATCAGGTCCGCCATCGCCTCAGGTGGGCACGCCCCTGACCACAGCTCGGCCTCGGAGGCCGCCAGGATTGCAGGCAGCAGGGGCCTTCGCAGATCAAGAGATCAGGGAGTCAGCGGGTGGCGGTGGTGGCGCGGGGGCGGCGAGGCGGGGGTGGTCATGGGGTGGGCATGCTGCTGCAGGAGAGGGAACAAACCAGCAGCGTGCAAGGCGCGGGCCGGCTGCACATTCATGTTTTTCCAACTGCCGCCACACAAGGCGGGACGGCTGCAAAAAGATGAGACTCGTGATCGTGCCCCCAGCCGCCGGTGCCGCGGCCGCACCTGTGCCGCAGCCCGAGCTGCGCGTACGTCCACGCCAGCTCCCCTAGCTGCCGCGCGCTGAACCCCCCGCGCGATATCGCCTCCGCCGCGCGGCCCTCGAGCGCGGCCAGCAGCCCGGTGCTCGGGCTCCAGCCCCAGGCGGCCAGCGCGCGCATGCAGCCGCAGAGGTCGTCCGCGTTTAGTAATGGCATCTGGCCCTCCACGACCGAGAGCGCCTCTTCGAGCCACTGCGCGTGCGGCCGCACCTCGAGGCGGGCCAGCTGAGACAGCAGCTGGGTCAGCTGTCGCGCGTCCTTCTGCATCGGCCCGCCGCCGCCACCACCGCATGCGGCCGAGGCCGGGGCGGCGGCGGGCGGGGGCGTGGGGCCGCGGCGCGGGCGTAGGCGCGGGGCGGGCTGCGGGTGGAGGCAGGGCAGGGGGCGTGCGGGCCCGGCAGTGTGGCGGGGTGAGGGGTTTGCACTGTCGCGTGCGGTGGCGAGCAGCCGTGTTCATTGGCAATTGATTGGCAGCTGCTTTGCGCGTGGAGCAACTCAGCGTCCGACATTTGCTGCGTGGCGGTGTTGACGTCACGTCATGCTACAGCTGGCAGCACCACGCAAACCCTGCCGGGCCCACAGGGACGCGCGGCAGCTGCGGTTGGGCAGACGCGCACCTGACACCCGTGCAGCCGTGAGCCGAGCCGGGCGCAGCGCCTGACAGTGGCCCCGGGCGACCTGTGCGGCGGACACAGACGTGTGCGCTCGTTGCGGCGCAATGCGCTTCTGTGGATGACGACCCCATGCCAGCCATCACGCTTGCCTTGTACTAAACGGCTGAGCTTGCGACCCGCCCTGGCATGCAGAGTCTGCTGGCGCGTTCGGAAGCACGCAACCACGGTCAAGAGCATTACGGTGCACGAGTCCTCCTGCCGCGCCATGACGCTGCTCACCGGGACCAGCTGCCTTCAAGCTGCGTGGGTAACATGTTCTGCACGATAGCTAGCGTGGAAACCGCAAAGACGTTGATCTTGTTGGTGTGTGTCTTGCGATGCGTCACGCCTGAACGGCAGCTACGGTAGTGCAAATATCGTACAATGGACCGTTCCTTCGATGCGCTTCGAATTGGGTCAGCTAGAGACTCACAGTCGGTTTGTCACCGGAGCAACACCCAGGCAATCGCACTCAAGTTCCACTGAAGCAGCACCATGCATATTCGTCCAAGATTTGTGGTCACCATCTAGTTGCAACCACACATCCACACGCCTGGACCGGGACAACACGCACCCGCCGGCCCCTCTGCGCTGCCGCCATGTCCGCCACCGCCTTTGTGGGGCTCGGCGCGATGGGCCTGCCGATGGCGACCAACCTCGCGGCCGCTATCTCTAATCAGGTGCGGCCCGCGAGCGGCTGGCGCGCGGCACCGCCGCTCCGTGACGCGGGCAGCCACGCCGCGAGGCGCCACTCACTCTGCGGCGGAGCTCCAGTGCTCGATCCCATCACAAACTCCCATGCTCGCGCGGGGGCCTGGGCCCGGCTCGCCTCTCGACAGCCCCCTCACCCCTTCCCATTCGCCCCAGACACCAGCCACCAGCCACCAGCCCCCAGACGCGCCCGCGCTCGCGCGCCGCCGCTGCGCGACACAAGCGCGACCCACGAATCCCGCCTTCCCTCACGCCCCCTCCCTCACCCCCCTTCCTCCCCTGCCCCCGCCGCATGACCTCCTGCAGCCGCTCATAATATATAACAGATCCCGCGCCAAGTCTGACACGCTCGCGTCCGCCGCGCCGCCCGGCGCCGTCAAGGCGGCCGCGACGCTCCAGGAAGTCGCGGGGGCAGCTTCCATCGTGCACCTCATGCTCGCCGATGACTCAGCCTGCGATGCCGTCATCACCGAGCTGCTCAAGGGGTCCCAAGGGGGCGGCGACGGCGCCCACCTGGCGGCGGGGTCTGTGATAGTCAACCACAGCACGGTGCACCCGGGGTGCTCGAAGCGGGCCGCGGCGGCAGCTGAGGAGGCGGGGGTGGAGTACGTGGCGGCGCCCGTGTTTGGCAGGTGGGATGGGGGAGGACGCCTGCCCGGGGGGGGGGGATGTTTGGGGATGGGTGATTACAGTTGAACAGATTTTGCGTGTGATTGACAGAGCGACCGTGTCTCGCGTTCACGAATGCGGCTGTCGATGCCGCCGCGCCCGCCGGCCGCCCCCGACGCCTCCGGCCGTCCGTGCCCCAGCCGCGCACGCGGCAATTGACAGCCGCTCCCCCCCTCTCCCGCCCCGCCGCCGGGGCCCCCGCGGCGCGGCGCGGCGCGCGCTCAGGCCGGACGCGGCGGCTGCACGGAAGCTGCTGGTCGTGCCGGCGGGGCCGCCGGCGGTGCTGCGGCGCGTCGCGGCGCACCTAGAGGCACTGGGGCGGGTGCTGCCGCCTGTGGGGGAGGACGCGAGTAAGGTGAGTCATGCGCATGCATGCATGCATGGCGCGTGGGGCTTCCGTGATGTTGCGGGGCCGGTGCCGCAACAAATCTCCACTTGCTGCGGCCGGGTTGGGGGCGCGGCGGTTTGGTAGCCTGCGGGCGCAGCTTGCAGGTGCTGTGGAAATGGCATCATCGCATCTCACGCGCCGCGCCGCGCGGGGCATTGCTTTTCTGAGGGGGCGGCGGGGGCACAGCCTGCGGTGCCCAGCCTGAGGGTGTGGGCCACTTTGTAGCAGGCGTGGCTGCAGTCGCGGGTCTTTCTCTGACACGAGTGAAGGGGCCCTGCAACAAGGAGTACACGCGCTGGAGGGATCACCGCTGCTGCTGCTGCTGCTGCTGCTGCTGCTGCTCCAGCCCCACCACAATCTGTTAGCAGCCCTGCCCTCCAGGCCGCCTGCGCCTTCAATCGCACCCGCTCCCACTCATCAACCTCTCTGTCCTCTCCCGCCGCAGGCCAACGTGCTGAAGCTCACCGGGAACTTCATGGTGAGCCGCCTCCTGGATGCTGAGCACCCATGCCATGAGGACATGTATAGTTGACCATGGGGGCGACCTGGGTGAACCCCTCCCGCCCCTCCCTGCCGCGCGTGATTTTTCTCCCCCCACCTCCCAGCGCGATCACTGTTCAGCTGCTGCGTCAGTGCCCCCACCCACAGCCGCCACTGAGGTCGGTCTCGTGCGCAAACGTTGGCCCCGAACTCGTGTGTGGGGACACACAAGCGTGCTCACTGCTGCGACGCCCCGATACCTCCCATCCACTCGGCTCGATCCACCTCATTCCCCACGGCGCCGTGCGGCCCGGCCCCCAGATCGCGGGCGCGATCGAGATGATATCGGAGGCTCTGGCCGTGTCCGAGAAACACGGCGTGCCAGGGGACAGCATCCTCGGATTCATCGAGGCCTTCTTCCCCGCCCCTCCGATCGTGGTGGGCGCCGAGCGCTTTGGGGGCGGGGGCGAGGGCGGCCGACGCGGCGCGCTCGTCGCCAGTAGCGGCGCCTCTGTCCCCTCGGCTTCTCCGCAGGCACCTGCCACAGCGTGCGACGCGCAATGCGCCGCCCGGCCTAGCTTCAAGGGCGCGGCTCTCATGACCTCCCAGACCAACCCTGAATTTTGACATGCGCACTGCGTGTGCACTGCGTGTGCACTGCGTGCGGGCCGGGCCGCCGCAGGGCTATGCGCGGCGCATCGTCCATAGCGAGCTCGACGCCGGCACTGGGTTCACGGT